TGGTGTCATTCACAGTGCATCACATTGCTCTGCTGGATGGTCTAGGATGAGAAGGTATTTGCTCTAACTGCTTAGAAGTCCTTTTACTTAAGCAGTTATTTAGTTCAGGCTACATGACTTTGTCAATTTTTTTTCTTCTGAATTTCCTCGTGTATTTTTAATTGGCTTAACATAATCTGATCTTTATGCAACTCAACTTCTCTGTACTGTTTTAATAAAATTAAAAAATCTTCCCCATAGGTGGCATTGTTCGCTATGTGGATTTCAGGAGAAATCTGATATAAATCCATCTGTGCTTGTCTCCTGCTTGCTTGGAAGTCTGAGGGAAGTGCAGAGAGAAAGTCCCTCTTTTCTACCACTTCTACCAAACAAATGAAATTTCCCCAGGGCACTGAGTACTGTATGTAGTTTGTATAGCAAAAAGGAAAACAAAAGAGTTGTAGCACCTTAAAAACAAACTGATACCATCTGCTTCCTTTTATTTTTGTTCTACATGTTCAAACAGACTAATGTGGTTACCTGGATGGAAACGGTAGCCTTAGGGTTAGCAAGACTGCATGCTTTCCTCCCCCCAACCCCATTTATGTCAGAAACAACAAGCAATTAGCCTCCTATTTGTGAGGTGGGCATTGGAGGGATCCTAACAGCCTGTCCTTCTACCCTATCTTGTTCTCCTGTTGGAGGCTTTCCACATTCTGCAGCTTGTCGCAAGATGAACCTGTGCACTTTCCTCAAACCTTCACGGATCCTGTGACAATGGTCTCTAGGTCACAGAGTACCACGAGCCTTGAATCTGGGGAGTGTTAGTGGAGGAGAAGGAGGAGGAGGAGATTTGGCAGGTTTTGCAAGATCTGGAGGCAGAGACCACCCACCACCACCAGAGGGTCCCTGACTGTGAAACATGGCTTTCAAAATTTGCTGGGGAAAGGGGAGCGCAGATCCAACCTAGACTCTTTCTTTCTGAAGGCTTATCTGAAAGCTGCTCAGCTAATCAAATCCTAATGAAACATTTGAGATTTCTTTTACCAATCCAGATGAGCAACCACAACAGAACTTGGTGGGCTGGAGAACCTAAATATCTTCCACTGGCATTTTCACATCATCCAGTGGCAGTGCCTTGCACTGCCCCAGTGATAACAAGTCCAGTACTGGCAGGTTAAACTTCCTTTGGGTAGCGAAAACCTAGTGACAGGTGGTCCAGTTGAGCGGCTCCTAGTGCCATGAGTCAAAATAGATTGTGCAGCTACTCCATATTTTCAATAACAAAAAAGACAGAAGGGGTAGGAAAACCCAGGAGAGTTGCACATTAAGAGAGCTCCATCTGCACAGAGCTCCAAGAGCAGAAGCTGCCTTAAAGTGTTAACAAGGTGCCATCCCTGCATTTTCTTGCTACCTGTCTGTACTCCTTTCACACTTACCCTCATGAATTAAAGTTTCCAATTCTTCTTCTTCTTTGTTTCCCATACTCCTGGCATTCATATACTCTGTGCTTGGTTTGTTATGATCATGATTATTGTTATGTTTATTATTGTGATCATTATTGTCAGGAGAAGGAAAACTCTGATTTCAAACCTCCACTGCCTTGTGACTATATCCACTCATGGAAAAGGCTTCAGGAGTAAACCTCGAGGCAAAATCTGGAGCTGGAGTCCCGGAGGCAGTTTGTGTCATTCTGCCAATTCCTGCAACATTGCTGGAACCAGTTGTATTGGCTCATGCCTTTCCATTGGACCATTTCAGCAACGTGGAGAGGGGGGAATCTGCTGCTTGGGTAACAGCCTATCCTCCATATTACTTTACCCAGGCTTCATGATCTGGAGAGGACAGTCCTTGATTCAGAGCATGTTACCATAGTCTCTCGAGACTGAAGGATGCCTATGCTAATGGCAATTTCCACCACACTCTCTTGGTAAACATTGAATTCTCCTAAGTAACCTAGCAACTCTGTGTTCCAGTGCTGAGTTGAAACTGTTTTGTTTTTGCTTTTTTGTTAGAAAAAAAAAAACTAACAATGCATAAACTATTGAGGAAGATTGACATCCTCATTGGTGCCCTTTTGCACTGGATCAGGCATTTACACTGGCAGACAGCAGACAAAAGTGATGCCATCTGAAGAATGTAGAACATAGCTGAGGGAAAGGTGTTTTCAAAATGTTGGCAAAACCGAAAGTAATACTGAAACTGAAACGTGTGTTTTTAACCTGCTTTTGGATGTTTGCTTTACAATTCAGGACTGTGAACTACAAGAAGGCTCAACCTCAACATCATATTACTACAGAAAATTGGCCTGTAATTTCCTCCTTCAGATTCAAGAATGGCTCTCAGGGGTTGGCTACAGGCCCAGCTCCTTCCTTACTGCAAGTGGAAATGGATACATTGAGTCTGCTGCAGTATGAATTTTTTAAAAAACCTCTCACGGAATGTGTTGAGGCTATTTAGAAATATGCTATGCTGTGCCATGGTTCAAAATATGTACCTAATGCTGGAGAGTATGCTTTCTTAATGGACAAAATACTCTGGTTTCTTTCACTTTTTAAAAAGGCAACAACATTTGGGAATGATTTGTAAGTGAGTGCTAATCATGGCATCCTGCAGAACACAGAGTTCAGAAGATTCTAGCTGTCCTTCCAGTCATGTACATTTTGACGTTGCTGGGAATGTTTATCAGAGCCTGTCAGCCCTCAAAGTTCACAAAAATGGTTTCTTCTCACTGCTTCCTCACTTACTCCCTCATCCATCCCTCTCTTTCCTGTTCCTATCCAGATGTATTTGGAATATGATTGCCTCAATGCGTGATGAGAATTGTAGTCCAACACACTTGTAAGATACAAAGGTTGAGGGAGCTTGCAGTTTTATCAGCCTGTCAGGGTACAACAGGGCAACAAGTACCCCTGGGGTCCCAGTGGCTTTGGCTTTAGGCAGACAAGGTGGGGAAAAGGTGCAACTTTGCTTGAAGGCTTTTGTGGATCCAACAAAGAACTGGTCCAACTCATGGTAAAGAATTGTAGTCCAACACACTTGTAAGATACAAAGGTTGAGGGAGCTTGCAGTTTTATCAGCCTGTCAGGGTACAACAGGGCAACAAGTACCCCTGGGGTCCCAGTGGCTTTGGCTTTAGGCAGACAAGGTGGGGAAAAGGTGCAACTTTGCTTGAAGGCTTTTGTGGATCCAACAAAGAACTGGTCCAACTCATGGTAAGCTCTTTTTTTTTTTTTTTTTTTTTTTTTACCAATACATAGCAGTTGGAGAAGTATGACAGAGTAACAGAGCTTGGGGAAAAAAACTGGATTTTAAATCCCAGAATTATGCTGTTTCAGAGGATTCTTGGGGGTATAGTCCAAAAAGTAACTTTTCCAATGTCCTTTAGCACAGCACGGTTCAATGGTCAGGCCCACGGCCTCTTCAGTCCAGCAGGTGCCTGCCAAATGGAAGAAGAGCTCACCTGGCCAAGGGACTATTTTGTAACAGCCGTGAACATCTCCCAGAAAGCTATTTGGGGTGGAGTTCAGTCTGCTGGTCTTGGCTACAGTAGATACTGTACACAGGGAAGATGAGATGGTGTTCTGGCATGAAGCCTCTGTCTAAACAGGTAGATTGGCTGATTGTCACATTATCCTTTCACTCTATTGGCTCAGCCTCCCTCTCCAGTTTTCATCATGGCTTGGAGCACACTTGTGGGCTGCTCTGGCTCCGTGTGAACACTCAGACATGATTTTCATGTGTGCTTCATAACATCCTGATATAACTGATGCTGCTGCACAGATAACAGCTATCAGGCCAAATCCAAAGAAACAAAACTAAATACAGTAAAAGACAAAAACATGTCACACTGTAAAGACTATGATACAGTATTTTAATGTAAGCTCTCATGGACAGTTAGTTTTTAAGGTGCACCAATGTTTTTGTCTCTTGCTTTATTTCTTTGGATTTGGCCTGATATGCTTGCAACAGACTAACAAGAGAACAGCTAGTGAAGCTTCATGCAGTATATTTAAAATACTCTAGATCAGAGTTAGCCCCAGTGGTCTTCCAGGGGGTGATGAGCTGTGTGGCTCCCATTGTCCCTAAACAACATAAGGAGTCATGGCCGTTTGAGTCACAGACTACCTGGGGTGGTGGGGGTGGTCTGTGGCGGCAGCATAATTGTCCACACCTCTTTTAATTAGATTACTTATTAAGAGGTGGGGAACCATTGCTACCAGATAATCCAGCACAGATTTCCTATTAGAACTCCAGCATGACTGTCCAGTCGGTGGTCCAGAATTGTGATAGAAAGGGAGAGTTATCTGAGCTACATGGACCAAGCCGGCAATGAGTTTATTCTGGGCAGGCAGGCTTTGAAGAGAGAGGATGGCCGAATCATCGCCCCTCTTCCCAACTTAGTACAAGAATTCTTTCGGTTTCGGAAAGATTGTAGTTGTGAGCAAGTTGTTCTTTGACATTTCCAAAGTTTTGAGGAACAGCCCAACATGTCCGTGGGAACTTGGGTCTCCCCGCTCTCTGAAAGTCATGCCAGCACCCTTCCTTCTTCCTCTTCCTGTGGCAAACACCCTTGATATGGGTCAGGAGGGAAAGAAAGGCCCTGTCCTGACAGGCAAAACGCAAAACAACAGATACCAACGCACTTCAGGCCTTAAGAGATGTATTAGCCTTTAGGGTCTCAGCAGCCTCTTGGTCGGTTTGATTGCTAGCGCAGCCATTTACTCAAGGGAAACCTTGGAGTGGGGGAGATGGGCCCCTTCTGGCTTGTGGCCTGGGGTGCCCTCTGCTCCCTCCAAGAGCTTGCCTGTGACCTAAGAAGTGCCCTGGCTGGGAGAATGAAGGGTCGTTAAAAATGGCGTTTTCTGGAACTAAAAAAAGGCAGGCACCAAACGCCCCAGCTTCCTCTCGCGTTTCCTCATTTGTATTTTTTTTAAGAGAAGGGCTAATTTTCAACACGTGCCCTGCGAGCGTGGCCTTCCCTGCCTTCATCACTTGGTTCCCCAGTCTCCAAGCATCCGTCCCTCGGTGTCCCTCCTCCTTCTCGAGCTGCGGACCGCGGCAGCAAATCAGTCAAGCAGCCGCCGGCCTGCTCTTGCTCTCGGGCGACCTCCTTGCCTCGCCCGCCTCCTCGCGGTCCCCCGGGAGCCGCGCCTTAGCGGCGCTTCCTGCCCGCCCCTCGCGGGTGGCGGCAGCTGAGTTCGGCGGCGATGGACGGCGAGCCGAGCAGCAAGGAGCCCGATGCTGCCGACAGTTCTCCTCATGGTAAAAGCGCTTCGCTGTGGCGCCTTAAGGCGGGCGGGCTGCAGGAACGCGATCCTTGCAGGAGTCCGTGGCAGGGCGCGGGATGCTCTGGGCAGGCGGGGGCCGGTTTGAGGTGGCGCTTCGTCCCGGAGACCTCCGGCCGCCCGGCCTTTTGACCCCGGTGGGCGCCGTCGCCTCGCCCTGTCCCAGGGATGGAAACGCTGGCCCGGTGGGTGGCGTGGGGTGGGATGTTGTCAGGGCGCCTCCCTCGCGGCCTGACCCTCGCCGGAGGGTCGTGTGTGTGGAGAACGGGAGGGAGGCCTTCGGGGGAAGCCCCCTTTCGGCCTGCGCGGTGGGGAGGGCCCGTCTGGTTTCTTAACCCCAGGCCAGGGCAGCGAGCCGGCGGCGCCTCCGTTTCCCCCGCTACTCAGGAGAACAAAAGAGTCGTGGAGGAGTTTTGTCCCTGGCGTGGCTTTCGTGGACCCTTCGCGGCCTCCCCTCCCGCCCTTTGCGAGTCTGCCCTCACAAAGAAACGCGTGTGCACGGAATGGCTCCAGGTGCGCCGTTGAAGCGAGGCGCCGTTTACACGTGTGTTGCCAGACCGTGAGAAGCGAGAGGCTATTGCTCAGCTCTGGCTCGCTTTCGTGCACTCCTGAGACGGGACGGGACCTCTGCGGCTGTAAACCTATTTTAATGTGCAGCCTTTTATATATAGGCTCTAGCATATATACTGTATATGGGTGTTCCACCTACCCAGGCTCCCCCACCCCACCCCTGGTTTTGCTGATATATGTTGTTACTGCAAAAGACAATACTAGGTAGATCTTTGTGTTCACAAGACGGAGATGTCTTGTGAACCTCTCTAAACAGGAAACAGGCAGGATGGGATGAGTTGTGAAACCTCCCTTTGTGTGACAGGAGTAGCCTTTGAATGTGGTTCATGGTTTTCTTGGAAGGGATGTGGGATGCCTGGCTCAAAGTGTTCAGTTCCTACTAAAGAAGAGCAACTGACAACCTCTTCTCTGTCAGCTTCACTGAATGAGGCCTCTGTAAACTGCCGCATGTGGATGCAGGAAGGGATCAGGCCCAAGCTTCTGCTTCAAGACTGAATTGGTAAATTTATGTGCTCTCACAGCAAGGCCAAGCAACCCAAGACATTTGTGCAAAATCCAACTGCCTATAAGTTGAAATATGGCTGCCAAGGTGCCATCCTTAAAAAAAATAAATTAAAAAATACAGGTGGTGGTGGCGGTGGGGAGACTGCCTGTCTTTTGCAGCAGAGAGTCAGATACAGTGAGCTAAAGTTCATAGAAACTTCTGCCAAATCATCATCATCTTACAACAGTGGAGGTAGAAGGGACCCTATGGATCATCAGGTCTAAATCCTGTCAAGAAGGCACAGTGGGGAATCAAACTCCCAACTTCTGGCTCCACAGCTCGATACTTAAACCACTGAGCTAGAAGCATGTTAGTCTTCAAGGTACCACAGGACTTCTTGTCATTTATCCCAAAAGGAAGGGTAGTGTTTCCAGTGAAGGATTCAAGGATCAATTCCAGCCACCTCCTTGTCCATCTCTCAAATGAGTAGTTTTAGACTACTGAAGGTTCAATATTTGGGTGTAATCATTACTCAGGTTCTCACATGCAGAGGAGTGTGTGGGGATGGAATGTGACTTGCATGTGCCTTGAAGGAAATGGTTTCTTTTTTTGGCCTACCCTCCTACGGCCACTGAGTGACAGGAAGCTTCTGAATGGTATGCTTGTGTGCCCCATGCTTTCCGCCACTTCTAGCGCATCGTCTGTTTTTCTAATCATGCTGTTTGTCACTCTTTGCTATACTTTCTTTTCCCCAAAACTGTGCTGGGTCAGCATCTGTAGCACACCCAAGTAGCGCCGCTGTGAGGAGGCTGAACTAACAGCCACAGTGGGTGAGGGAGTTTTCACGTGAGGAGGCAAAAAGAACAGGGTAAATGAACAACCCTGGCCCCTCCTGAACAGTCAGAAGCCTCTCCACATTGAATAGCCATCTCTGTACCCTGAGAATGTCTGCACCACAGCTGTATGTAGGAAGATGGTTTTTTGGGTCTGCACCACAGCTGTATGTAGGAAGATGTTTTTTTGCTTTTTGCTTTGCCCTGTGCTGTTCCTAAGCTTTCCTTAACACATTTCCTGTAAACACTAACTTCTACCTTTCAGGGCAGGAGGCTGTTTGTGGGGCTAAGTAAACCCTAACTGGTTAGAAGACAAAGGACTAAAGCTCCAGGTGTATGGCATGTGGGCACCAATGTGTCCATAAATACTTCCTTTGGCATCTGCCCAAATTTTCCATCCCTCCCAACTAATTTATTTTAGTTGCTCTTTGCATCTGACTTGCATTGTAGTTCCCGCTCATCTTGATTGCCTTTTCCGAGAATGTACTCAGAAAAAAAAATATAATTAAGGGATGAGATTTGTCATGCATCAGGTGGAATACAGACATCTTTTCCACCCAAAGAGATGTGGTGAGGGTGAGGAATATACCTTTTCAATATTTGGAGATCTTCAAAGCAATGAATGATGTTGGAGAGGATTTTGAAGGTTTATAGGGCAACTTGGGCAGTCAACAGAGTAAACAGTTAGGCAAGCTGGGAGGTACAAGAAAAGACTGATGGGTGACCAGGAGTCTGGGAAAGACACCAGGGTGGGGTTGCAGGTTGGAAAAGGGATACTGTAGTTTCTATGGACGGAAAAGAGCAGATACGGATTAAATGATTTTCAATGCATTCCTATGGGAAATGCAGATTCAACATAAGAACTTTTCAACTTGAGAACCACCTTCCAATACGGATTAAGTTCTTAAGTAGAGACCCCACTGTAGTTAGATGTATACTGGAATGATAGATGAATGTGAGGGGGGAGAGAGTCCTTAAGAGAAAGAGGTTGTTCATCTGGTCGTCTTTGTATGTATTTTTCCAGAATGAGATGACAGGAAGAAAGAGTGAAAATTTGTGTGGGAGGGGAGGTATTTTGAAAGCATGAACTGTGGGCTCAAGAGTGGTATTTTGGACTGATTCCATGTATCTACCCTGTATTCAGGATCTTGGGCTAGTGACCTGCTTTCGAGCCTGTGTGCCTGTCCATGAGATGGGTGAATTCGACAGGCTGTGTCCACTGCCATAGCTATTTTGTGAAAAGGCATCCTAGCACACACAAACACATGGAAGCCATTTTGCAATAGTATCTGTCACACGTTGTCATCTTTTCAGAAATGTTATTTTTTGGTTTGGGGAGTCAAACACACAGATGTAAGTAGTCCCATAGGAGGATCCCAGGCTGTGAGTTGTATTCCAGAAAGCAACCACCACCATCAATCAACAGAGCTGTAATACCTGGCATATTTGAGGTTTTTTTTGGGTTTTTTTTTTTTTTGGTTTTTTTTTTTTTTTTTTTTTTTTTTTTTTTTTTTTTTGCTGCTTTTATTTTAGAATCAGGTTGCAGATGCTGGGAAAGCTGTCTCTCTGCTCAAAACTTTCAAGAGAGCTCCCACCAGTCTGGTTGGCTAGATGCATGAACAGTTTTGGTCTGAAATAAGGTTGCTTTCAGCGTTCCTGACAAAGCAGAACACTTTTTGACTGCAAATCCCAGAATTCCCAGGAGAGGGTCCATACTGGTTGTTGGATTCTGGGAACTGAAGTCCAAAAATGGTGTCTCTAATATCTGGTTCTTATCTCTGAGCGCTGCTAGGAAAGCCAGTGTTCACAGAGAAAGGTGAAGGAATTCAGAAGAGGCAGTTTTCCTTGGTTCGGAGCAGATGGGATACTGGAAAACATGTGCCCGAGGGACGGTTAAACTACCAGATTTAGGAAGAATCAAGAAGAATTATGGAAAAGGTGAGCTGCCTGAACTGCCTATAATTCACCTATTGATCCATTTCTTTTCAAATAGGCCAGTGGTTTGACTTTCCTTGAGCTATACAGTGCAGGAGTCCCCTTGGTTCTTTTTCACGACACCATCTAAAAACATAGACGTGGCAGTTCTCCTGTTTTCCTTTGCCAAAAATTTTTTTTTTTCAAGTACAGTAACTTGGAAATAGATACAAAGCAGCTAGCGACACAGAAAAGAGACCACAAGCCAGGGATATAATCTTCCCAGGAAAGAAGAGGACTCCTCAGCTCATAGGAAAGAATGGCTGAAGAGCCTGGAAAGGGGGGGGGGAGTTTGTTTTCTTTCTTTTTTGAAAAAAAACCAACATGCCGAGTATATTTGGGAGATAGTGATTTTTCCATTGCCTTCCTCAGTGTGATGGCTGGTTGCCATAATATCACACATATATACATACTTCAGATATTCCAAGTTCTTAACTTTCACCCTGGAGATGATTAGCAGCCTATGGCCATCTAGAGCTTGTCAGGAGCAAGCTTTAGTATATATTTCTGTCCAGCCCTATTACTGAGGTGCTACATAGAAAGGACTGGGGTGGATTTTCATTGCCTTCCATCTCTAAGTGCTACAGACGTTTGAAATGGCTGCAGGCTTCCATACTGCCCTTTTGCTGCCCATCCTCAGGCGGGGCTCAGAGCTGATTTAGCTCCTCATGGCTTCCCTAGCCTCCCAGTCAAACTCCTGTTCTCAAAGCCATGGGCATTTGCCTGATACTTGGCATAGATGAGGTATATAGTGGCATTGTTCAGAGTTGTTTCAGAGGCTGACTCTAAGCAAAAAACAAAAACAAAACAGTCAACAAAAAAGTTAACAGGGTGGGGTAGTTTTATGGCTCACCTGTTTCCCATAAGGCTGCTGTTCAGGGTCCGAAGGCTTGGGTGTTCAGAAGAGCACAGAAGCCCTGCTTGAAAAAACATGGTCACCTTACCAGTCCAGAACCTTGTTCAGTTTTGCTTGCTTTGTCACATTCATTTCAGGCAAGAGTTGGCATCCGTGGTGCTTTTCCTTAGAAAGGTGAGCCACTGAGCTGGAAACCAGCCTGACACTGTGTCAGACGATGCATGCATTTGGGCCAGCATTTTCTGTGCTCAGTGTCAATG